GTTCCCGGCAGTTACTTACTTCCGGGTTCGCCGACCAACCAGTTCACAGGGACCGCCGCGAACCGGTTGAAACCCACCCCTGGCTTAGAAGGACATGGCTAGATCTTATCAGGTACAAATGGCAAGGAGAAAATTCAGGGTGGACTTTAGCATACATTTTAAAGGTTTATAGCTACTTTACAGCAGAGTAGTTTGCTGCATGAAGTCTTTAGAGTTTTGTTTTCTGTATGTAGCTGAGGCTATCTGTGAGCTACATTCTTATGTTAGTAGAGAATTGGCCTAGATGAGCACCCAAACCTTTTTCCAACGTTTTTTAGATGGATTATGAATATGGTGTAACAGGTATTGCTTAATAGGTATGATAGAAAGGGCAGCAGATAAACAATTCAGAGACGATCTGTAGTCCACTTTAGAGTAGAAATCTGACCATAAATATACTATAACTCCAACCATCTCCCCTTTGTTATTCCTGAATGCTTCAAAGTATATGTCTGTGGTTGCAATTATCAGTCTATGTTTGGTTCCTCTGCTTGGAGGAATCTGAAGGAATCACCATATGAGTTGGCTTTAATATACTGTTTCATAGAAGCTACAAGATGGAATCAATGCAATATTTAAGCATAAAGTAAGCAAGCTACATCTTAGGGTCCCACAATCTGTAGGGCCTAACAAAAATTCAGATTGTTTTGGTTTTAGAATTTTGCGGTGGTATTGTATTGTAGTTTTTTAAACTCTTGTGTAGCAAACTTTTAGGCATGATTTTAAAATGGTTTTATATGTAAATTACAAGGCATATGCTGTATATGTTTTCATTTTTTGGTGTGGTGACCCAAAGTCCTGTTTTGGTACATACCTTTGTGAAACTTTGTGGTATAACTTTTAACAGGAGTCCCCAAAACTTTATATAGCTTAGGGAGTCACCAAATCTAAATCCATGACTATTCAAAATGGTAAAATATGTTGCTATGTTGATGTGAATATATATGGGAAGCTGTGTGTGGTCCTACCTTGTGAGTGGTAATCATCTGACCTTCTTCCCATGATTTTATTCAGTGTTACGTATCTAAAACTCACATTTCACCAAGAATAAATGTAGTTGGAATTGTTGGCTTCACAAGATAAATTAAGCAAAACAGTGTATTTTATCAGATTGGAAGTGACATGCATACTTTATGCTATGGTGCAACTTTCCCCAACCTTGTGCCCTGCAGGTACATTAGGGCTCCATTTCCTAGAATTTCAACCAACCTCCCATGATGCCTGAGAACAGTGGAAATTGGAGTTTCCATATATCATAGAGAAGGTTGGTTTACTGTTTCATCATTGAGAACTGTTTCATTATCACTTGATGTTACAGTAACTGAATTATGAATATTCATGGAGAAATGCTATATACCTCATTACTTAATTCAGACCGTCTATAAGTGTTGGATTATAACTTCCATCATTTTCTAGCAGCATGGTCATTAATTCTACATGGAAATAAAAGGAATTGTAAACCAATAGATCTGGAGGGTATGAGATTGGGAGGATTTACTCATCTTAATATAGTATGCTGATTCATATGTTGCCTGAAGCTTTGATTTCATAATCATTGGAAAGATAATTTCAATAGATAAACCTTTGTTTGCAAACAATGTAGCAACACATTCAGTAGCCAAAATTAAAGAAACCACAATATCACTTGGGCATTATGTGGACCAGGTCAGTATGTTAGGAGGGAGCCAATCTTATAACCATGTTGACTTCCAGATGACATTTATAATTCATGTTCTCAGAGATGTAAAGGCCGGTGTGTTTGTTATGGGTTAGATATTATTTTTAATTTGAGAAAGAAACAAAAGCAAATAAAAGTTGAGGGCTTCATTTTATGTTTCCTTTTCCATTCCTTGAAATTACTTTAGATAAAATAATTGGGTTCTTGTAGTTTATTTCTCATTTGTACCTAGATATACCCAGTAAAATAATATTTAGCTCTCTGAGACTTATTCTAATAGAATAAAACTGGTATTCACAGAAGGATTTAAAGTATCATTTCATTCAGGCATAGTAGTTCTAGGAAAGTAGCATGGCTTTATTTCTAAGAAAATCAAGAAGAATCTGACAAATAAAAATGTCTGCAGAAAAAGATTGGGGAGGGGAAGCAGAACAAGATACTGTATATGTTACCTACAAAAACATTAGTAGATGTCAAGTTGGGGAAAAGTGGTCAGCTTGGCAGATACCATGGCTAATATCGATATCTCTTCTTATTGCTAGATTTTTATACTGGGCAAAATTCAGTTGAGTTGATTAAATTGATCTGAGAAATGAGTTATAAGTTTTGTATTTTTAAAATGCCATGAACATGTGTGTTTAGATATTTTAAAACTTAAACACAAGAATTCTACGTGATATCGTGGTCCACGTGATAACTGCAATCCACAATAGTTACAAGTCAATGTTGTAAAAAAGAACCATAGTGTAATTGAAATTTAATAGTTTCCCCGATTTTCAGCTATCAGTTTTTGCAGTCTGTATGCTGTATATGCTGTGGTTTGGCTACATCATCTTTTACTTTCACATTTTGGCTGAGGAAATTTGCACATCTTATATTCAAGCCAGTGTGGACATAGGTAGTCCTCAAATTACAGCCATAATTGAACTTACCCATCACAGTCGTAACTTGTATGACTGAACCAGTTTTCTGACCTTTTTTGTGGCAGTCGTTAAGCTAATGCCATTGTCATTAAGTTGCTGCTATGGGCCAGAACAGTAGTAAAACATGGTTATATAATCACAAGACACTGCAAACAGTCATAAATGCAACCTGGTAGCCAAATGCTCCCTTCCCTGGAGGGAGGGGTGGGAATCATCAGAACTTCGAATCTGGGTCATACCCCCAGGAGGTCCATCGTAACTTTAAACGGCCATTAAGCGACCAGTCATTGGACAAGAACTACTATCTTTTCAGTGACCATGAAACCTGAAAAAAAACAATTCCAGATCAGGTAGAAGCTTTTATTTGACTTTCAATGGAAGCAAATGGGATTCTTCCTATTCAGACCAGAGTCATTGGGTATTTATTGGGTGACATACACATTTAATAAACAAATGAAAACAAAACCAACCCAAATACAGTATTGGGGAAGGGAAAGCTGCTTTATTTGGACTTCTTTTAATTTATGTCAGATCACCTTGTAGAAATTATTAGATTATCAGAAATACTCTGTATGCACTTGGTGAATATAGCAGCAGTTGGACATTCTTCTAGTGTATATATTCAGTAGTATCCCTTGGGAGCTGATACAAGGGGTCTCAGACTCCACTTTGGGCAGGAATATTGAGGCCTCTGGCTCCGGTATAGCAGAATTTCATTCTGCCATGAGTTTTTCCAATGTCTCTCTGATTCAATACTTATGGTAAGATGTATAGTAGAATTTGGTTTTCTTTATAGTAATGACTGGAAGTAAAAAAGTTCCAGCAGCAACTTTTTAGTTATCCTTGTTAGGATCAGGTTTTCCTGTTTAGTTTTAACCAAAACTCTCTTACTTTGCAAGGGTAATGGGGACTGCATGTAGGATATGTTGACTATATAGCTGATG